GGGGGGGTGTATAACAACTTCATTAAAAAAGAACAAACTAAACGTTTCAGTGAGCAGAAGGCCAATGGCGTGCTGTGAGCCACGGTTATTTCTTGCACTCACGAAGGCCAGTATAATAATTGGTGGCTTTTAAGTACAGGTGGGCTAACCCAGATTTTGGGGGTTTCCAGAAATCTTGACCTACACCAAAACTGGGCATTGCCTTACTTGCAGGAAAAGTTTGGTTTCATTGGTGTGTATATTTGTTTGGTTATAGAAAAAACTCTCCTTGTATTTTAAAGAAACTGAACAAGGGGCACAAACTTTTACCTTCGATTTTCTCAAAACAGCACTTTTCGGGATAGCCCCCTTGTGCTTAAAAGCGACCAATTATGGAGGGATCCACAGCAGGGTAAGGGCTGGGGTCAAGTATTCGTCTCTCGGCAGCTCCTCAGACGTATTATTACGTCATGTGGTGAAGGCAAGGCTAGGTGGCCTGTATAATAGTAGTATCAGTCTGCTATTGTATGCCCTCGTTATGATGGGTAATGGACGGGTCACAGGGTATGTTCTCTACTAGATGTTGGGTTTTGGGTATTTTTATTTCCTTTTTTTTTAAGTGAAGCTGGGGCTCTTTTTTGTTTGTTTACGTTTACGTGTACGTGTACGTGCGCGCGCGCGTGTTTGTGTGTGTGTGTGTGTGTGTGTTTGTGTGTGTGTGTGTGTGTGTGTGTGTGTGTGTGTGTGTGTAAAAGTGTAAGTGTAAGTGGGGTGTGTTGTGGAGTGTAATTATAGAAAGGTTGTACAGAACCACTCAGACGAGGTTGCCCCTGTGGGTGGTTGGCGGGAGCTCTGGTGTGGTTTGCTCCTTCTTTCCTATCAAATATCTATCACCCTGATCTCTCCTCCTTCTTTTTTGTGTTTGTTACTCGCTTGTAACACCTCTAATCTTCGGCATTTATACGACCTTATTGGTTATAAGTGCCGTAAAACTCTTACTTAAACTAAAATTAAAAAACGAAGTTGCCCCTGACAGGCAGGGAGTGAAGCCTGCTTTCTAAGTAATCTAAATTGTGTTAATATGAACGTAAGAACACCTACATTTAAAAATGAAATGTTTATAATACTGTGTTCAAAAGAGTTTTTGCTTCGTTTGTTCGAAACAAAAGAAAAAACCATTCCTCTGTAAGATGTTCAAACACATTAAGGAAACAATAGCGCAGGTTCTAAAATGTATTGTCCTCCCTTGAAAAAAAAATTATTACGTTTTTCTTTAAGACACATCAAGTTTACTCAAAAAAGTTTTTTGAAGTGCCCAAGACAAAGGGTGCGGATGTACAACTTCTCAAAAATATCCTTTCTTGGTTTGTTTTGTTTCGTTTTGTTTCGTTTTGTCCCCTTTCTTTCATCTTCTTTGTCAGGTCTTTGTTTTCATACCTTGTAGAGAATGCATTGTCGACATCGAGTATTGATGGATTTGTGTATCGACTGCTTGGTTTTGTTGTTTCTTTTCTCTTTTTTTTCTTTTTTTTTGAGGGGGGGGGGTGATGTTCTTTTTTATAATTCTTTTATGGTTGAAGAATCGATTTAGCAACATTTCGTTTTTTAAAGAAATTACTTTTGTATTTGTTCAGGCGCCTAAAGAAGGGCTGGTCTTTAGCTGCGTTGGTGTCAGGTATGGATATGGTGTTGTGGTGGCCTTGTTC